AACTTAATCATAGGGACAAGTATGGAGTTGAATATTATATCCCAGAATTTAATTGGGAAAATTGAACAACAGAAGATAAAGTACGTGAGACTGATTTGGTGAAATAGAATTTTATGACTTTTGACTAAAACATTGCTGATTTTCTTCTAGGCTTTTTTGTCCGGTTTTAAGGATTTGTGTCCTGTCTTGAGCTGTCGATAGGTTCATGTACCTAACATTTGAAAAGAATCCTAACCTGTTTCTTGGCTTCAAGTATTAAGCAAAGTTCCTTAGCATTTCTTTAAGTTAAAACTGCTTTTCCTGAAATTACCAAGTGAACTTGCTATTGAAAGTAGTTAGATTATTTAAGAAATTGTGTGATCAATACAATGTGGGGAGGAAAGGAATGGAAGACAACTGTAGACACCAGAGATAGTGTGAGAAGAGGGTAGGAAAGGACAGAGGGTCAGAAAGAAAAAAAATATATATATACACACACACACACATATATATATATATGAATGAAACTAGAAATGGAAAACTTTTGACGACAGCATGCATGATTAAGCCACTATGCAGTATATTCTAAATGGGAAATCACATTTTGTATGCTGTGACGATGCTTAGGGAATGAATGTAAATTAAGTTAAAAAAAAGTTTCAGAAAAAAAAATTTCAGAACTAAATTACAGGACACTTGTGACTAGATTCTAGCTCTGTCCATATTTTTAGTTTAACATATTTTGTGAATCAATAAAACATGGAAAAAAGTTTAGTACGGAAGGGAGGGGGGAAGGATAAAAGTAAAAGTATGCTTAATTGACAAAAAAATGAGAAGCTACTTGCTGATAAGTTATAGAGTAATATCTTTGCTTGACTGACATGCATAGTATTTGTGCTGGAAAAAGAAATGTTGTACACTGTAAAGATGTGATTAAATGTAAATAAATAAATTTTTTTAAAAAAGAAAAAATTCTGAGAGCTAGAGCTGTTCCAAAAAGGATCCAAGGTGAGCCAAAGTTATGAGTGAGCAGAGAAGGGGAATGGAGCCGACCTTAGAGAGCAAAGGAGCCCCACAGCTCCGGTTGCGAGGGTATATTCTCACAACTGTGGTTCTTCACCCTTTTCTGGTCTCTGCAGCCCTTTCTGAGATCTGGTGAGAACCACAGGCTCTTTCTCAAGCGAAGCCTGACTATAGATGTGTACAAAATTCCGCATACACTGTGCTAAAGGTTCACAGACCCCTTGGTGTGTGTCCACAAAGTCCAGAATGCTAGCATCTACTTTATAAAAACAAATCCAGGGCCAGCTCCATGGTGCAGCAGCAATGTGCTGTTCCAGAGAAGCTGGATCCAACATGGCAACCACAGTTCAAATCCCCAGCCCAGGCAGCCAGAAACATGCCAGACACACACACAGGTGCTCAAGAGCCGATGGGCTAAAGGGTGGGACTAAGGGTGTCACAGAGCAACTAGACCCCACGCAGGGTGCTCCTCTTTCAGTCTCATACGCACATCCTCTATCGTGAATAAAGAAAGAAAAAAAATCCTACAATTTTTTGGTAACTTGAATGAGTGGCTACTATCTCTTCTCATCCCTATTTTGATTATTCTTTAATTACACTGTTTATTTCCCCTATCCTCTCATCTCTGCCTTTCCTTCTCTGCCCCGTTTCAGGCTACATTTGTTAAGCTCCCCACTCCCCAGAATCTGCTATAACTTTACCCTTTACCTTCATAATCACATCCTATCCTCACATAAGAATGCTGTTCAGGCCATGGAATTCTCAGATCTGGTCGTCCCCAGTCTGTCTAGAAAAGTTGACCATTTTCCCAAGGTGACATAGCAAGATGGAAGCTGGTACAGAACTGATTCCTTGTATCCAAATCTCTTTTCTCACTGTATTTCTCAGACCTTATCAGCCACCATCCTTTGAGCATGTGTTCTATGCCAGGTGTTTGTTAACTTTTGCCTTCCTGATCTTACTTCATCCTCTAAAAATCCACTTAGACATGGGATACTGGGAGAAGTACCTGCCCAAGGTCAACCAGCTGATACACAGCATGGCTGAGCTTGAGATGGGCCTAAATCCAAAGCCTTAATAATTGTTATCATCCACTTCTTGGCTGGGCTCTGGACTATTACCTGGGGCAAGGTAGGGAGGAGGGAAAGGAGAAACAAGACTGACTGCTTTGGAAGTATAGAGATTTAGTCCAGGACCCAATCACCCTCATCTAAAGAACACACCAAGGCCAAGGGAGGGGAGGCAACTTCCCAAAGTCCTTTGGTAAACTACTTGAGGCAGCCAGGTCCACCCTGTTCCTGTTACAGGTAGATGCCCACCTCCCTCCTGGTCTCCTGCATCCCCCCTAATACCCTTCTTACCTCTGGTCTTCCTCTGGAGTGTTGGCTGATAACAATGACATGACCATGGACTTGCCTGTCCCCTGGAGGCCCAGGACACCAACCACCAACACATCAGTTTGATCCAATAGGTACTGTTGGAAGATAAAGGAATTAACCTCATAAATCTTGGTTGCTAGGGCTTGAGTGAGATGGGGAACCCAAGACCTTTGAGGCTTGCCCCCTGCCATAGCAGATACAAAGAACAACTCCTATGGTCCCGATCCCCTCAGCTGTGCAATGGGGGGCTCAGTTCTTTTTCATGGTCAAATGTTTTGGGTACAAAGAACAGTGAAAACAGCCAGGAATGGTCAACAAGCTAAAAGGAAATCAGTGTGATCAGAATACAAGGAAAAAGGAATTCTGATCTTAGAGGTGAGAGGCCCAGAAACAGAAGGGCAGGTTGGAGGACTCAGTAACTGAGAGCCACTGAGGTAGACTTGGAAGGCTTCCTGATTCAGGCAGGTTGGAAAACATCGGGAAGCACAAGAAAGGGGATTGGTACGCAGTGAGGTGTGATCAGGCCCTCTAGGATCTTCTCTGGGGGATTTAAGAGCCCTTCTGGAAATTCCTGAGGCCTTTGCCTGAACCACCAGCTTTGTTGGCTTTGACCACCAGGGGGCATAAGAGACACACCTCAAGGAAAACAGTTCTGTCCTGAACTGTGGCTGCTGTCCCTTAGAATCACCTGACAGGTGTAAAAAACAAAGTGGTTCTGGGCTCAAGTAGGATTTCATGTGCTTTAAAAGATTAAAGTGGAATATATAGGGTTATCCTGTTCAGGCTGGTAGGCGCTGCTCACAGGTGGCCAGTCAGTCAAAATTAAACATTTAAAATGTTTTTCAGTCGGACCAGCCACATTTCAAGCGTCCAACAGCAACATCTGAGGACAGTGGCTGCCATGGAGGACACTACAAATACAGAACATTTTCAGAACTGTGGAAAAGTTCTGCTTGACAAAGCAGAAGGTGAGGGCCTAGTCACTGTTTTTCGGTTTTGCTTTTTTTTTTTTTTTTTTTTTTAAGGTCTC